TGACAGCATTGTCATTGACAATTGACATGGTTTGTCTTGACTGTGACTGTTAGCTCAAATGAGTGACCAAAGCAGAATCGTCAATAATCACCGTGTACTGTCGAGATTTTGCAGCACTGACTGTTACCCATTAATGGGTAACAGATACTCATTAATGGATAAAAAAAATGCTAATTTGAAGGTAAGTCACTTATCTTTAAAATTTGTATTTTTTACCCAATAATGGGTACTTTAAAGTTAGATAAAAATTGAGTTCACTTTCACTCATCGTGTGGCTTCCATGAGGCTAGATAAAATTAAATAAATAATGAAAACTAAATTTTGAGAAATCCTCATCAATAATCCATTGAGTGAAAATTACCTAACGATCAATTGGATGCAATTGACATTGACGGTGACTCTGTAGTTCATTACTCCTATGTTAAAATCCATAAGTAAACTTCAGACTGTGCGTGAAACATGGCAGACTTCGTACTATCAACCGGTGGAAACTAACGATTTTAAATATATTCACTACTTGAATAGCCTATTGGCACAAACGAAGTGACAGACGGAGCGGCTCGAAAACTTTGGTGACGCACCTGCTATTGCAATTTTTCAGTGTACCACATGGCAACACTACTACTGGATTGCACCACATGGCAACACTAAATGTACTAGAATGTTTTGGTTCTATCTCTTTCACTCTACTCTAAACTGAAATGCATAAAAAAAAATGACAAAATGATACACTCTTTGCACACTGTCAAAGATCATATTGCACACAAAATCAACTATGTTCAAATCAAAACAAAAATTCTAGCCCATCTGGTGGCTGATGGCACAAGCTTCTAAGAAAATTCTATTACAGCGAACCACATTATTTTAATTGATTTCTTCGCCAGTTAGTCGTCTGTCACTTCGTTTGTGCTATTGGTCCTAAGCAAATCGATTAACGTACCCTATTCTAGTCGAAATTCTAGTACTACGCAATGTTTGTTTTGATTCGCTATGAAAGTTTGACAGATAAAATGAGGGGTTAGTGGATTTTCCTATGTTTCGAGGGGTGATTCGACAAGCTTGGGACCGAAGATAGTACCAGAGGTGAGCCAAAAAGTTGAGCACGTTTCTTCGGGACCTACTAGTCTTAGAGTTACCTCTATGGTATTACTTATCCGTCTTTTCAGAAATATATGGGAATTCTGAAAGTGAACCATATTGTTAATTTATAATATTTGCTTTTACGTTAACATCCTACACACTTAATCTAGCTCGGTAAAATCTCCAACAGCCGATTACTTCGGCATTCACTTTTGCTGATATCTCTGCAAAATATCTGTTTGTTAGCTGATATCTCAGCAAAATGTTATTTGTTAGCTGAGACTCAGCAATTGTTTGACTGAATCTCAGCAAAATAAATTGCAGAATGACTCGGCTGTTGGAATCTCGGCGAAAAAATTTAAGTGTGTATGTATAATAAAAAGAGTGATCCATCACTGTCCACTTGGAATGCTTCTTGAAATTCATTCTGATTTGCTTTTGGATTCCCAGCAGGGCTGGTAGCAGGTCACTTTTTAGTGACTTGGTCACTATTTTCAAGTCAGTCACTAAAAAGTCACTTTTTTCATCAAAAAGTCACTAAAGTCACTATTTCCTAAAATTTAGTCACTAAAGTCACTTTTTTACGACCAATGTTGAGAGTAAATAATTTGACTTTAAAAACTCAGAGTAAAGTCTGGCAATAAGAGTTGCAAACGTTTACTGTTCACGAAATATAATATTTTATTTATTTTTATCTTGAAATTGTCATAGACCTATCATAAATTTTCAGAGATTTCTAAAAAAAGCTCTAGACCCAATATTCTGGCTGTTTTACATTGAGATCTTGAAAGTTATCCAAACCTACACTGCAACAAAAAGTTTCGTAAAATTCACCTGCATAGGCGCGTACACATTTTCCATCATACTTTTCAGGTAAATTTTACGTGTTTTGGGGGAGAGATTACATTTGAGTGATTCACATGGAATTCAATTGATTTTCACGAAAATTTTATCGGATTTTCAGATAATCTTCAAATTGGCATCACTTCAAAGTTACGGGAATTAACATGTAGATGTTAATGGATTTTGTAGTATTGATAAAGTGAATTGGTGATAGACTATAGATATATATATTTCGATTAATTTGAGTTTTTTGATTGCATTCTAGAAAAATTGAAATTTACTCATATTCTGCAATTTTGTTTTTAATTTATAAATGAGTGTTGATCTATAAAAATTATAAAACTTACGCTTGAAAACATGAAGAAGCCTGGGAATTCCAACTCTTTCAATAACGATGAATGCGCACTTTCTTCTATCGCCATTTTTGAATTACAAATACGACGAGAAAATTTTCATAAACTGAAGTGAATTTCACTTAACTTTTTCAGCATGACATGTGGACTGTACCAGTGAATCCAGTGTAATTCATTACCATGTCATTGAAGTCCTATTTTGAAGAGAGGACCTGAATATTCATGTAAAAGTTACCTTTCTCGTTGGTTTAATGTATAATGTCAAAAAATTATCTAGGAAAATTTTCAAGCTCTCAACATTTCCGGGGAACTTTGAGATTTGTGCGCCAACTTTCAAAACCAGATTTAATGCCATATTCATACTCGAATCAGTTGAAAAATACATTTAATCTTCTAGTTTACTCGATATCTATTCATTGAAAGTAATATTTTGATAATAGTTTATGTTTTGAGAGTTGGTGCACAGGTGGATTGAGGTTAAAGAAACGCCACTGGATATGGGCGTGGTTGCTTTTGTAAACAGACAAGTCAAACGCCGATTTCTCACGAATAAACGCTCAATCTCGCGAACAAACTATCCCAAACGATAGACAAATCATTCCTCTAGCTGTTTGTGTGGTTAATTTTCGAGATTGAACTTTGATTCGCGAGAAGTCGGCGATTGACGTGTTTGTTTACAAAATCAATTACGCCCAAATCTCAAAGTTCTCCGGATTTGTTCAAAGGCCAGAAATTTGAATAATTTTTGACCCCCGGTAGCTTTAGTATCCGTCCAAACATCGAAAAAAAAATCATGTCACAGATCTTTGAGTTCCTTTTCGTTATAACGACTACAAAAAAGAGAAGGATCTTTAATTAATATACTCATGGATAACTTAGATCTATGTACATTTAATTCTAGACTGTTGCTAAATGCATCGCTTCATATATATCCAATATCTTCAAAAAATGCTATCTAAAATCGGTACTTTGAACATTTTTCTATGTGCCTCTAAAAGTTACAAAATGGAGGTTAGAATTGGAACGTGCTTGCTTATTCAATTCATCCTTAATTTTCGATAACAAATTTATGTGATCCTTAAATCATTTGTTTTATTTTTAAAAAGCATAAAAAATACCGGAATAACGGATGATTGGGACCATATCTTTCCGATCAATAAATGTCACTAATAATGGTTACTTTATTATTGTTTAAAAGTCACTATTTGGTCACTATTTTCGTAATTTATTCACTAAAGTCACTACTATTACATCACATAACCACTACCAGCCCTGTTCCCATGAATACTATTCACAATATCTTTAGAACTACCTTAGAATTCACCCGTAATTCTTCCTGCAATTTTCTTGAAATACTTCTCAAAATTACCTTGAAATTCTCCTCAGAATTCGTTTTTAATCATCCCTAGAATCTCCTCAAAACTTATTTGGAATTGTCATCATAATTTTCTAGTCAGTGTTTCGGAATGTCCGAATCTCTAAATGTTGTCCATGTCCAAGAACCATGATTTTTTTTTTAATCTGACATCTTTAAAATACGCCATATTTGAAGCTAGAAATATCACCAAGTTCAAGAATGTAAAAAACTGACTTAGCCTAACATTAATAAAAACAAATTCACACATATGCTCAATCTATCACTACGGCCTAGTGCCTAGTTCGAATAATTTACATGTAACTTAGATAAATTTTGGGATCCAGAGTCATTTTTTGGAGACCCTTGAAGAGACAATTTTGAAATTCTGAGGAGAATTTCATTCAAATTCAAATTCTATTTTCAAAATAATTCTGTCGAGGTTTCCCTGAGAAATTCGTGGAAAATTCATAGATGAATTCCTATGAAATTATAGGCAAATCAAATAATATTATTAGTTTCGACAATCCCCCATCACATCGCTGGAGTTGGACCACTTTGACGTTTCTATACATTCTATCGAACTTGTATGCAACATTGTTTGAAACTTGGCAAGCAAGCTTTTTTTCGCGAATGCTCACAAACGTGATGTTATTTTTAGGCGAAAAAAATATTTAAATGGCTACGTCTGATTGTCTGTGATTGGACGTTAAATTGTTGAGTAGAAAAAATAACTCCGTCTGTTTGCTTACCCTAATACTGTGCCTTTACCGACTAGCCTATCTGAGCTTTCCATAATTCCCCTAAATTACCATCTACCATAAAGTGGGTCCACTAAACCTCGCCCTGTTCCTTATGGGAAACCTTACCATTCCCATCGTTCATTCCAATTCCATCAACGAAAATGAAATGCTTGCATGTTGAAACCAATGGTTGGCACTCCTTCCTAATCTCCATAAAAAGAAAAGTATTTCACTTGCCCTATTTCTCCAACGCGTTTTACTATACTTACTAACTAATAGCACACCAGAGAGGTAGCCATTGTCGGTCGCACGTGGGTGGCAGAATGAGCCGTTCGCTTCTAATTGCTTTCTCCCAGCCTTGCCTCCCGGTTGCCGTCGTTGCTTATCTTACTCAATTTATCTAAATAAGTGTCCCGGGTCGTCCAAATCAGGATCACGATAAACACGAACTTAATTTGTTACGATCATGAACCCAGCCCGCCCGGTGTGTCCGTGTATTCGCGTGAACTGCTGTCTGGCGTGCAGTGGAAGTACCTACATAAATCACACCACAATCACATCAAATTGCAAAATGACACCAATCGTGCTTTACTAATTGATTTTCCTCCCCCTCTTTTCTCATTCCAGAATTCGTAACAATGATGACATCGAAGTGAGCTACAGGTCGAAAAATTATTGCGCCTTTCTATTATTATTTGTTTATAAAGAAGACTGTAGCCACGCGCAACACCAGCTGCGCAACGCTATTGCTATGGATTTAAAAAGAGTAACAAAAAAAAGAGTAAAAAGAGAAAAAAGTAAAAGTAAAAATTAACATTAAATTAAATTTAAACAGAAGAAAAAAAACCGGAGGAAGCAAACACAGAAGTGAAAAAGGACAAAAAATAATGCAAAAAAAAACAAACACACACACAGTAAGGAGAAAATAACTTAAATTAATTGTAACAACACAATTTTAAATAAGATAAATAAAAAAGGAAGAAAGAAAAGAAAATACATTAATTAAAGTTAATCACTATCCTTAATCTATTTGTGTAAATTTTTGTAAAAATAAAATATAAATATAAATTTAAAAAAAGGAACCGGAGAAAGGCAAACACGAGAGCGCGAGAGAGGAGGAGGACACAGGAGACAAGGAAAAGGAAAGAGTTAGGACGAACCGACCGTACGGGACGGGACGACGAACAGGAGACGAAGACGGGACAAAGGGACACGAAATGTTGTTTGGTTAGGTTGGCAGGGGAAAGGAAAGGGTTTGTGCGCAGACAGCGGGACAGGAGGGGGGGATAGAAGAGGAACTGTGGAGGGGGGGAAGGGGGAAGCGAGTGCACGAGTGTCAGGCTGTTATTCCACGACGTCATCAAATTGTGTGACACTGCTTGCATGTGGCGGCGCGCGGCACAGAAACGACGAAACGACCAGCACGACGGGAGAAAACGAATACGGTTAGGTTGAGGGACGGACAGAGCGAGACGACGAGACGCGGACGGAACGAAACCGGTCACAAATTCCCAAGAGCAGAGCAACAACAAAAATCCACGACCACCACACCACCACAGTACTTTTTTTCGAACTAAATAAAGCAGAACAATTGGAAAGAACTTTGTGTCCGGTTCCCGGGGCACGGGAACCGAAAGTGAGGTTAGGGATTTTTTCTTGCAGCGCGAAAGGGAAGGATTTAGATTTTGAGAAAGCAGCAAAACAAACATGATGAAACATTTCCCACTTTTTAAAATAATAAAACTGAACTTACGTTACTTCGTTCGAAAATGAACCATAACAAATGAAATGAAAAACAAACAAAAAAAAATATCAAGCTTGGCATGCGTAGTTTTCAGCAAACAAACAAAAAACCAGAATTCAAAAATACAGTAGCGAAAAAGAAGCAAAACACACACACACACATTATTGTAATGGTTATACTTAACAGGAAGTGAATTACTATTTATTAAAATCGTAATTTATAGTCGTTCGAGATCTAAGAAAAACCATCAAAAAACCAAACAAATGTCGTGTTTTCTTATTTCTTGTCACACGAGGAGCGAGAGAGTGCGTGGTCGGTCGGCTGTCTGTCTCTTGGGGAAGGTGTGTCTTTCCGCTACTACTACTACTGAGAGAGAAGTGCCGCGTGCGTAAGTATGAACGAAGAAGTGCTGGGTTTCTCTTTGTGCAAACACCCGCTCCGGAAGTCCGCGTTCGTTTCTCTACTTCTCTCGTGATTGCGAGATCGAGAGAGTGAGGAAGCCTAAAGTGCAACGCGCCGTGCCGCACTGTGTGCACCGATTCTCCTCATTCTCCTCTCCTTCTGCTTTTATCCTAGGGGTGGTCTTTTTGCGATTTGTTGGCTGTTGGGGATTTGTTGGCAATTTAGAGAAGGGTTGAACACGGTGATGTCATGAAAGGACACTGCTGGAAACGAAACAGGAAGGAAAGAGAATGAGAAATGACACAGAATGACGCAGAAATTAGAGGACAAAAGAAACAAAATTAGGAAAATCAAGGGAAACAGCAGTGCAGGAGCAGTAATCAGAGTGGAAAGCAGCTAAGTAAAGCAAAAAAAAAACCGAAAAAAAAACGTAAACGCAGTTTATAGAATTTGAAAATTACAAATCCAACAACAGAACAACAAAACAGATTTACTTTTTTTGCAGCATTTACTTCTAACGGTGAAAAAAGAAAATTTAAACATTAAGTGTACCTAGATGAGAGTAAATTGAAGAAAAAAAAAACTAATGAACAAAGCAGAAGAAAAATATTAAAAGTATAACTACAGTGAAAAGTGAAATCCAACTATTGTGTGTAATTTTCTTCCTAAAGGTATGATTTTATGATCACGAACTCACATACACCAATTCACATGTACACACAGACAGAGAATCACGGTGCAGAGCAAAAGAGAGTGAACAGCACCGACAGCCGCACTTTGACTCACGCTCACTGCAAAACGTCTTGAAACACACTCACACCAACACGCTTTTTTTTTCGAGGCAAGCTAATGTGAAAATGCAACAACAGGAGCAGTAAAATGTGTCTTCTATTTAAAAACTTCATTATTTGTCTTCGCATAATTTCGTACACATGTCTCTGTGTTAGTTCTGTCTTCGATCACTCACACACACATACAAACAATTTAAAAGCGAACAAGAAAGCAAGAGAGAGTAGACAGAAAGTTCTCATTCGTCGTTAATCATCCCTATTCTGTACCGCGTTCGAAACGGATTTCCCATACAAAAAAAAATTTGAATGGGCAATTCGATTCGAACGGAATAGAGAGTAGGGGTGAATATTTGCTCCATTTCGCACACGTCACACACACAGATACAAAACCAACAACAACACAAACAGTGTAACTTCTCCGTCTTCTTTTTGGTTTGTTTTGATTTTTTTCGGTTGATTTCCAATTGTTCGATTTTTAGAAAGAAGGAAACAAATATAAGGCAAAGTAAAGCGATAAGGTATACATTTTCTATTGAAGAATCTTTTTGTAATAAGTGAAACCAAACAAGCATATTATGAAGAAAACAAACCTAAAATATGAAGTGAAAAAAGAAATCCAAACACACAAAACCATTGAAGAATTAGTGATGTTAAGCAATGAAATCAACATGGTTAGAAACGTCTGACAAATCTTACAACAAGGAAGTTAGTTTTTCTTTCAGTCGTTAAATTTTTGGAATATTTTGGAAAATGGCGTACTCTCTCGGCTCGATTTCTCTGAAAAAGAATCAGAACACGAGAGAGAGAGAGATGGAGAGAGGGTGCCCGGTTTTGTGCGACTCCCTTCCCTGCCCAGAGAGAGTCCCCACGAGAATAACCCCACGAGAGAAATGCCATAATCAAAACAAGCAACGAATTTTACGTGTGTGCGTGTGGCCTGTCCGCCACCATTCCTAGCCAATTTTCGGTCTTCTCCAGGGGTCCTGTTGCATGGTATCGTTTTTTCTTTGGATTGGCCGTCCCCTGCGTTGAAATTTCCGCAATCGACCGGCACCCTCACCGCCCAATAGCCAATTTAGTGAAACGAAAGAAAAACTTAACACTCAATTTCCTCCCACCAAAAATTTAACAAAAAAAAAAACGCATTGTTTTTTGTACTGGATGCTGTTGTAGGAAAATAATGCGCAAACGAAAGAAGCTAATACTAACCGCCACCATCATCCTGGTGTTGAAAGAGAATATTAGGACTACTTTTAGCACACCCACACAAACACCTACACAGCCACAAACGAAACGAAAGCAAACCGAAAAACAAAAAAAACACTGTTGGAAGCCATTTTAGTTTCTACTTACACCATTTTACTTTCGTGTGTTTGTCCGTCAGCGAATATGCAACGCAAAGCAAAACAACAAACTTTCTTCGAATTCCAAACTCTCTCTCTTTAACCTATAAACAGAAAAAAACGCGTTTAAAGAAACTGTTACTACCTTACAAACAAAACAAAAAAAAAATCTTTGAAAAAAATCAGATACAATTAAGCAAAAAAAAAAACGAGGTTAATATCATCTAGTGGGAAAAAAAAAACAAAAGAAAAATCCTTCGTATAGAGAGGAATAGAAACATCTAGCTAAAGCAAACTTAAAAATTGAAGAAAATTTATAACATCAGTGAGTTTAGAGAAACCAAAAAAAAAAAAAAACAAAAAATTCAACCAACCGATTAGAAGAGAATGACAACAACAACTACAAAGAAAACTCTGTACACCTTCCACTATTTTTTGTCGTTTTTTACTTGTACAAACCCCCCCAATTCAATCAGACTAACGAAAGAGAACGAAGGAAAAAAAAAGTACCGCACCGAAGATAAACATTTCAGTGTCCTTATACTAACCCTGTACTATCCTAACGGTGAGAAATCGAAAACGCATCTATTGGCATTATCGGTATTGGAGTGAATGGAGCTACAACTGAGAATTAAGAAAAAAGAAAAAAAAAAAACAACAGCCATCCTCTCACCCCTCGTTGGATTTGTTTTTCTACCGAAATTTGCTGCTACCACAAGAATCGTATCCTTAAATGCTATCGACCTTTAGCAATTTTACCTGTTGCTACTTTTCGACAACAACAACAACAACAAAACAGTTGAGAAGAAATGGACGAAATATGTCAAACAGCAGCAAGTGAAAGTGACAACAACAAAAAAAAAACTCTTTAGAAACAATACTTTCCAATTTAGACGTTTTTTCCTCTCTTTCCCATGTATTGTTAATGTGTTTTTATGTTATGTATTTATTATACTCGCCTATTGCTCCCTCCCTCTAAACACGTCAACATCAACAGCAACAACAACAACAACAGAGTTTGATCAATACTTATTAACAACAAAACACTTAACAGCAAATCACAACAACAACAGTAACAAACTGCAAGAAATCAAGAATTGACGAAGAAGAAAACAACAACAACAGCAGCAGCAGCAAAAAAAATACAGAATGAAAAGCAACAGCAAAAGAAGAAAAACAAAAACAAAACAGAAGAAAAGAAAACAACAACAAACATCAACAAGAGTAATTAAAAGAAAAACAAAAGACATAATATGAAATAAATGTTTCTTCACTTTTAGGTTGAACTATAAAAACTATACTCGAATGTTGTTCTCAGTGCTCGGTGGAATATCACAGCCCTCTCGATGTGCTAAATCAGCCCTCACCCTGGTGGCCACTGCCAACCACCCATCGTGTTAGGTGAGGACCTACCAAACCTAAGCGTTAAAACATGCCAGACCGTATAGCATATCGCAATCGTGACAAGCCGGCGCAAAATGTCCAAACTAGTACACCGATACATTAAATAGGGATAGAAAGAGATGGAGAGGGAAAGAGTAAGAAAAATCAATTTGCTGAAAGAAAAGAACATAAAGAGAACGAAAATATTTTGTTGCCTTCTAGGTCCATCGCTATGGCTGATCCGTACGGTATACCGATACCTGGCACTAAACATTGACCGTTCCATAATTGGTTGAACCGTACGGTATATTAACACCTGAAATTATACAAAAACAAATTATTAGCACCCCCCCCCCCTTCATGCAATCAAAAGTACTTACAATTAATGCGTTTTGAAGTAGTACTGATGGTAATTAAAGTTATCCATCCGTAATTAATGTAATTAAAAGTATTGAAAATGTAATTAATGTACCGAAAACGGGGTAACATTGATAGTTTTTTAAAGTATATTCTAAATATTTTTTATAACAATGAATGTTTTTCAAATTTCATATTTTTAAAACAAATACTGAGGATCCAAGAGTTAATTCGTCAGTAATATGTTTAACGGAAATTTAAATATTTGCACTATTTTTTTAGTTTTGTGACCAAACTTCAGTATTGTGATAATGCTCGATGAATGTAGAAGAAAATGAGTGAAACTCAAATAATGTAGATCTTCAAATATGAAACTTTCAATGAGTATATAATCAGAAAACATCATAAGCAATAAGAATACAACATTAGATTTGTGATGGCTCTATCGGAAATACATTTCATAAGTGATGGTTTGAGTGCTTTTTCAAACAGGCGAAAAACACGAAAATTGTTTTTTTTAATATGTTTGTAAAATATGTACCACATACTATATAAAAACTATATACGATATCAACGGAAATACCCTAAGCTACAATATGGAACCAATTTTTCTAATTTGGAAAAAGCGCAGTGAGTAAATTTTGATTTTGATTTTGATTTTGCGAGACAGAAGGGGGTCTTATGAAGGCCAGATCTCAAGTCTCAAGGCCAAATTCCAGAACTTGAGTGGAACATGGTTCTCACGTCAGACTATAATGTCTAAAATGAA